TATATCTTTCAGGATTTAACTGTGGTGTCCTCCGGCCATCTTTCCTTCATCCCTTCTTCTTATCCAGGACTAACATAATGCTCTTCCTCCATATTCTTAAATCCCTCTGCATAATATTAAAATTGTGACTTTCCTATCTGTCTGGTTTACTATGCTGTGAAAACCCTGTTTACTCTTGAATCCTGCACACAGTTCCCAGTGCATTGGACATGCTCAGTAGGTAGTTGCTGAACTAATTGGAATCTATTCTTGGACTCCCTTGTGTATCCAAGTTTATTCCAAAGAGACCCCCAAGTTTCTACAAGTCTAAGAAGAATGTTTCTTCACATACAACTCACACGAAGGAGGCATTGATAGGCACTATTATGAAAGCAAATTCTGATTTGTGTGCAGTGGTTGGTTTCCATCTTCTCACTGCTATCTGAGAGAGTCATAGACACTCAACTCATTAAAGCTGTAACATGCAATTTGCAATGGGATGAGTTAAGAGATGTGAGCTCTTTATAAATCTGGTAAGTTCCACTCTGTGGTTTTGGTTTACTGTTTTGCAAAATAAAAATAATGACTGATTTTTTTCCTATCTCATGTAGGGATCCAGACACTTGCCCTGCCCAATCAGACAAATAAAAGATGATTATTTTAATTGATTACACCTCATCCTCTCTGAGACAAAATTCACCAAAAGAAACATTATCTTTACTGACATAGGACTACAAGTAAGCCAATAGGAAAATTAACCCATATTACATTTTTACTACATATACATCTGGGATTCACTTCTCTAATATAATTATTTTTAAATTACACTCAGAACAAATAATGGTTAGAGCAAAATGAAATCCATTTTGGTGGACCATTATCTTTTTCAGATAAAACAATACCTGCATCATTTTAGGCAGATGACTGTCCAAGATAAAACAAACAAACAAAATAACTAACTAGTTAATTAAGTTATAAACAAAACCAAGAAAAACAAAATCTAGGAAAAATATTTTACAAGCCCCTATATTGAAAATAACCTTAAAAAGATTTGCTATACAATAAGCAATACTCAACAGAAAAGGGTATAGTGGTGTTAACAATAAGACACCAGACCCAAAATGGATTTGCTTATGCTAAGCCCCACATTACCAAACCAAGACCTAATTTAATTATGGTTTTGGCTCTCCCAGAAATGGAATCTTAAACCAGTCCATCAGGAATCAGCTGATCAGCACTAGTTAGGTCCTCTACCTGACAGATTCCAGCCATCCCCTGCCTACAGGAAAGTGACCTTGCAATAAACAACCTGCTTTTTTGTCTAGTATAAATTCCTTGTTCCCATTCGCTTCTGCATATAAAAGTCTTTCATTTTTACTGCTCCTCAGAGCTCCTTTCTATCTATTAGGTTGGATGTTGCCTGATTCATGAATCATTGAATAAAGCCTATAAGATCTTCAAAATTTACTCAGTTGAATTTTGTTGCTTTTAAAAATAAGTGTCTTTATTGTCCTTTTCCCATGAAAAAATAAATATATTTTATTCTATACCTTAGCACTAACACCGTCTTTTCTGAAGAAAGGTCAATTCAGCAGTTCTTGAATATCTATGATGTATTAAAATTTACATCAAAGTCCACATTGAACCTTCTAGAAGTTAAAATTGTATTATGTAAGGAAGTAATCTCTCTTTGCTCATCTCCCTGCCTCTAGATTTAATGAAAGTAGAATCACCACGGAACAGCAGCAGGTGCCTTTTAGCTTCCTTGGTGATTGACTCTATCTCCTTCAAATGTTTTTCTAGGGCAGCATCTGCAAGCAAAATCAATTGCACATTTCCGGCAGGCTGTTTTTTTCTCCTCTCAAAAATTCACTATGCATCTTAATATATTGAAAAAAGTGTGTGTGTTTTTATAGCATCTTATTGGTTTCAGGTTCCAAGGTATTTAGAGTCAGATAATATGCTCACTTGCTTACATTTGTCTAAGTGCTTCCCCCCTCCCTTGTCCAGAACATTTTTTTTAGCATTTATTCTACGTTGATCTAAAGATTTAAAGTCATTATATATGCACCGTTCATGAAATTTGAATTAATTTACATGGAAAACCCTTTTCTAATCCTCTCAATTGTAAATGTTGCATGATCATATTCTTTAAATGGGAAAAATCCATGCTAGAACAGATATTAGTATAGAACACTATAAAGGCAGAAAAAACAAATGTGAGTGTTTATCTTAAACACACAGTTAAAAAGTAATTTCTACTGTTACCTTTCAGGTATAGAACACAATCAGTTTTCTTCCTCAGGAAAATAGTCCAAGAACTATTAATTTCAAGAAATGCCTCAAAAATATAATTTTTCTCACAGGACATAGTCATACTTCAAGAATTTAAAAATCACATTTGAACCATTACTTTCTCACAAGTCTTTATATATTATCTCTTGCTCCAGCCTTTGCCTAAAGCAGTACATTTAGAAAAGACATTTACTTAAAAAAAATGTTTAGAAAGAGAGAAACACAAATAAAACTATCAGATACAATCTTCTTAGGTATCCTGACAATTTTTAAAAAGATGACTGATAAAGGCTGTGCTAAAAAAAATCACTGAATCTTATTATATTACACAGTTATAATCTAATAAATCGCACAGAAGTTGTTCATTAAGAGAACGTTTAAAGGATTTACACATAGTATGTCTTTTCCTGTCCACATCTTGAACAAATGAGCAGGTAGACGCGGTGGAAGGCTGTTAAAGATGAAGATATAACATTTTTACAATTTTTTGAGATACTTTTAGGCTTACAGACTTGTAAGGGTGGTACAGAGACTTCCTGTACAACTTTCCCCTGGCTTCACACATACCATTGGTACAATACCATTAACTAAACCAGACGCATTATTTAGAGTTCCCACTAATGTCTGTTTTCTGTTCAGGATTCAGTCCATAATCCCACATTTCATTTAGTTGTCATGTCTTCTTTGTTTCCTCCAACCTGTCACAGTTCTTCAGTATTTCTTTATAACTCATGAAATTTGCAATTTTGAAAAGTACTTGTCAGGTATTTTGTGATTGTCCTTCAACTTGGATTTTCCTAATAGCTTTTCATTAATAGACTGAGCTTATGGATTTTGGGGAATGCCAGAGAGGTGATGTGCTCATCTTATTACATTACTAGAGGCCCGGTGCACAAATTCGTGCGCAGGTGGGGTCCCTTTGGGTGGTCTGCAGGGATTGGGCTCCAGCTCGTGCCCCCAGCCTCACAGCCCCACAGCCCAGCCTGGCACCCCGCCGTGGCCTGGTGCTGCCCCCTCACCTGCTCCACCATCCCTCCTGCAGGGCAATGGGTTGGGGCTGGGACCCCACCTGGCTCCCTCAGTGCCTGGGAGCCGGGCAGCGGCCCTTTCCCCGCCGCCACTGCTAGTCGTGTCTGTGGGATGATCGGGCCCCACTTGCACCTGCTTTGGCCTGGCACTGCCCGCTCACCTGCTCCATCACCCCACTCTTGTCAGGGCTCATCTGGGCTGGCAGCACCTCCACTGCCACCCGCTGCCAGCGCTGTGCTGCTAACGCCACCCATGTTCCATGTTGCCCCCTGGTGGTTAGCGTACATCATAGCGAGCGGTCAAAGTCCTGGTCGAACAGTTTGCATATTAGGCTTTTATTATATAGGATAACAGAGGATAGTGATATTTTATTATTAGTGACCATCAGAGTAATTTCATAATGGTGATTTTCTATATTAATTAATTAGAATTTCTCTGTAAGTATAAGTTGTTTCTTCTTTATCATTTATTGATTTATGCAAACATTTATTTTTATCACAGATGGTTATTTTATTCTTTGGTTAATAATTCAATACTATCATAATTTTGTGACACTAGTTGTCCAACTGTGGACATTGGGATTCTTTCAAGTTGGCCCTTTTATTCTTTGATCATGTTCCTCTCTTTTATTTTATTTTATTTTATTTTATTATTTTATTTTATTATTTTATTTTATTTTATTTTATTACTTTATTTGTCTTTACTTTCTGGCATATCAAGATGATCCAGATTCATTCTCATTCATAAAGACACTGGGGACAGAGAACCCAGTGTTTGTTGCTATGAAGGACTATAGAATCATGTCCACACAGTTTACGTGGCTTAGGATAAGTGCTGGCTTGACATGCTCCAACTATACTCACCCACTCTCTTGATTCCACTCTCTGGAGATATCAAAATATAGCCCTGGAATAAATTTTCTTGACTTTAAGTGGGAGTGTCAGTCTTTTGCAACACTCAAGGAACCGTTGCATGGATGTTTAAGATAACAAAGTACTACTTCCCCCAAGGTTACTCTTCTACTTTTACAGCAGGTAGCACTTTGTTATAATTCATTAGCTTGCTTCACCACAGGGCTACCTACAGCATTGTTCTTGCTCAGATGTATAAAGACGTGTCAGTATGAACATATCGTGATGATGATAAATACAGAAGGGGAATGTTTCTTACTGTAGGATATGTTCTTGAAATTCTCCAGATGGACAAACTTTCTTCCTTTAAATGCAAGCAGGGGCCTCATTTCATTAATTCTTTTGCAACAAGACCTAACTGAAACTCCTTGGGATTTGCCTTCTACTACCAACTGTTACAATGAATTATAAATAATCAGATCCAATTAGCTATATGGAAAAGTTATCACCTGTGCTCAAAATGACTCCACATATATTCTTGACTACAAAGATCAGCGACCTGCCCAGTGTTGAAGCATTGGCATCTGGTCCTTGGAACTTTTTAGAAATTGTGACTAATCTTGCTCCCACAGAATAGCAACCCTGAAAGGTGCATTCTGCTAGTGTCTATGAGATTAACCTTGTAGCAATGCAAAATTTACATTGTAATTGTGGTCCAGCATAAAACTATCTATTCTCTTTGAAATATTGTAGTCTACTCTTCTAATACTTTCATTAATTTTTGGACATTGCTATTTGATGAAAATGAGAAAAAAAATGTATAATAGGGAGAAAAAGACAGAAACATAAAAAATAAAAATCACATTTATTTAAACAAAAAATACACACAGTGTACAATGAATATGGTTTCCACAGAACAATAAAACAAAATAATACTTCTCCAAATGCAAATATAAAATAATCTAACCTATTTTTGCCTCATTTCCTAGCAATACACATTGTTGGTTCATCTAGAATATATACTTAACATAAGAAAACACATGCCAACTTTTCACATAAGTACCACAAGAATCTGAAAATTAGATGTTAGATTAAATAAAATAATGAAATATTCACATGAGAAGTATATGTGTGCAAAGGATTGAACGTGTGCAGTGACATGGGTGTCTTACATAATTATAGACACATGGGGTGTGCCTTTTAAAAGTTTGAAAGTTCTTTGACGTGAAATGTTTTTAAAAATTGAAAGTGATATAAAAGCATCACAGAACTATATAGATAATATAGCAATCTTGCCAATAGTTGGGTCAATATTGCTTGCTACTTAATAGTACTGCACCGAGTCATCATTAAAGATAGACTGTTGGATTGGGTCCTTTGGAATAATTTAGATGGTTTTAAGAAAATTGTGAATGTATTCATACTATGAGTGTGAAAATGCAACATCTTAAATAAGTCTGTTTACTTACATATATACGGTTTATCAGGCAACATCACTTGAATTAGGTCTTCTCTCCCTTAATATTCATTTTCTCTGGGTACTCTATTTAATTGTGAGTCTTATTTCTGTTTTTAATTTAAAATTCTAAATATTCATGTAATCTATAAAAGTTCAAGCTCAGGAGAACTTATTGCATGTGTTTTTGGGGGATTATTATTACCTTACAATGTTTTCCTACTTCCTTGTTATAGCAGCCAGATGATTTGCTTCTTTGACATCAGAAATGCTTTAGGCTTTCTCTTACTTGGCTAGAAATAAAATCCAAAGTTCCATATCTTAACTCTGTACCTAATTGGTTTGCAAAATCTAAAACATTAATTTTATTTTCCTGTTCTGAAAGACAGTTTTTGCTAAAGGGAGTATCTGCTTGGAAAGTTCTGACTTAAAACCGCCAAAAAGAAAAAAGTTATATGTTGGAGCTTTCTTTATATAGCAATGAAAAATAAATATGGGGCAGGGCGGGGGGTGAAGAAGCATAGACTTTGAAGATTACGGGCGGCTAAATGAATGTGAATTCACACTAAAATATTCAATCAGTGACACCATTCTGAGCAAATCATTCTCTTCAGTAATGCATAATTTGTAAAGCCTCCAGCTCTTAAGGACAACTTGAGTTCAAAAAGTTTGCTTCCCTTGGTAATTGCTGATTAAAGCTTGTCTCAGATCAGTTTCTTAAATCTGTGATATAAGTTAATAGATTTCCTACAAGATTACCCAGGGCGCCCTGAATATGAAACTTAACAACTGATACATCATCCTATTTGGAAATCAAACACCTAAAACATCTGTGGTGACTTAGCATCATGCCAGAGTTAAATTAACAGTTTGGGTTTCAGTTGAGCTGTATTTATTAGAATCTGGGCACAGTAACGTGCCACTATTTTTTCCTGCTTTTCGCAAACGCTAAAATTATAAACTTAAAAATTGGTGCTGAAGCACATTTTCACTAGAAAAATATGTTTTAAACCTCCAAAATGGGCTCTAAGAGTATGTGTGAGGAAATCTGGGACATTTCACAAAGTCCCTCTCCCTGTCACACTCTCCTAGCTTCATTGTGGAGGGACAGCACTGCTCTCTGAGTCACTGCTAGTCCCCCATGGCACCTGTTACCTCAGAATGTCTTTCATTAAATACCCCATGAATGAAAGTTACATGTTCCGAGCTGATTTCAATCAGCAAGAGTCAACACATAGAAACTTAGAACTGGAAAGGACAATATTATGTAAGATTTTTAAAAAATGAATCTTTCAGAGTAATATGCTGATAACCGTAATTCAAGTAATTCCTAGATTTGGGCAAACATCCCTGATGATCGCCCTCCACAAATTCATGACAAAAAAAGAAAAATGAAAAAGTAGAGAGTATCCAACTGAAGCGTATTTGTGTTCCTGTTTATTTACATGTTGGAAAACTTAGGTGTCAGCTTTTCCATAAGTCCCCTCTGGAGGTCTGTAGTACTTGGGGAAAGCCATCAGCTGTAGCATGTTGAAAGCATACTTTCTGCATTTGATATTCTTCAGTACATTCTCTATGCGGCATCCTTCTCTGGTAAAAGGGGAAAAAGTACAACTTCATGAAACAGAATAAATAAATATGCTTTATTTGTTCAATGCAGAGTTGCAGCAACAGTCCGAGTAAAAATAACAAAGATTCAACTCTACATTTGTTTTTTGTTTGTTTTTCACAAATGATGATACATCTTACAAAATTAAATCCTAGGCCAGGCCCAATACCATTATTGCCCTCGGAAAAGAGATGATTAAAGTCTCTTTGCTCTTAACAGGTATTTAAGGTTTAATAAACTCTTTAAATATAATTTGCTCCACAATACAGCTTCACTTTAATCTCATAAATATATCTGCCTTTTTAATAACTCTTCCACAAATTAATTTCTTTAAAACACATTAAAATCTATATGTAGCCCTAAGGATACAGGTTCTAGGAATAAGGCATTTAATTGATTAAGTCTGGCCCTATAGATTTTTAAAGGAAAGTTCAATCTCTATTTTACTTCATTATTTTAACTGTGCAACGACGAGAAAAATGGCTTCTGGAACAGCCTGGTCTGAGTCTCCACTTTATAGAGGAGAAGTGCTATGCACAGACAGTACAAAGTCACAGGTGCGGAAACGGGGCATCAAGACAGAGACAAGACCTCGTTAAAAAGAATAGAAAAGTACTGTCCAAACCACATCAACTTAAACCATAGTTACAAACAGGTTAATTTAATTACAAAACAGAAACAGCCATATTCTTCATAGAGTTACTTGACAGAAGGGGGTTAATTGCAGCAAAGAAATGACAAAACAAACAGGTTAAGAAATCAAACAGAAGGCTCTGCCAGCTGATGGCAACGATTTTAGCACAGTGGAAATCAAGTCCGGAACCTCCCACATGTCTAGGCCTTGTCTCAGAGTCTCAGTGTGTTGTGCAAACTCAGTCTTAATTTCTCTGATAAATTTAACGGGAAGAGGAACAGGAAGTGTAGACCTTCAAGCTTTCAGGATTCTGTTCTGTGTCTTATTCCAAAGATAGTAATTTTAAAATTCTTCTTGAGCTAGTGAACAGGGGGAAACACTTCTCCATGAACAAAAGAACAAAACAATTCACTTAATGCATAGTACTTCTTCTTTAGATTTTAGGAAAAAACAAAGAAAACACAATTCAAACATCTGTTTTAAATTCTCTGGATCTTAAAATGTAGAAATATTACAGCATTGTCCCCATAATTTAAAGTCCATTATCATTTGTAGAAAAGAAAGGAATACAACAGTAAAACTTATTGGTATTTGGCTAATAGTAATGCAAGACTTAAAATAAGCCACACGACTAGCAGGTGTGAGCTGACAAGCAGCAAGGCGACAGGATAGAAGTGTCGAGAAGTTGGCTTGTTATCAGATAGACAGCCTGTTTCAGGATCATCGGATTCATTCAGGGCTCCCTGGGTTTGTCTGCTGTTAAACAGGGTGGGGGTGTAGGGGGAGGAAAGAAAATAGAAGAGCATTCACACAGTAAAGAAACTCAACCTTAAACATCCTGAAGTAGAGCATATTATCTTATACAATAAAGCTGCTTCAGATGGAAGTTTTATGCTAAATAGCCCTAAATACACCATGTGTATTTTTTTCTCACTGACGAATGTATTTCTCATTGACAAATGTTGTTACAAAAGGAGATTCCTTTTTCTTTTGGTGCAAGAGAGAAGGGAGAGACACTCGGATGATATTTCATATGGTTTGAATCTGAATGTGCAAGAAAGAAGCAAATAAGTATAATAGCAGCAATAAACAAAACTCCATGAATAAAACTAAAACGTGGATCAGCCCATAAAAATAATCGGATAAATACATCTTTGGCAAATGAAAGAGAAACGGTATGTAGTGAAGCAAAAGAATGTGTCTGACACATTTAGGCTCACTCTCTACTGGTCTCGTACCTGTATAATGTATTACATTAGAAAAATGATTTATAGAAATGGGTTGGTATTTAAAATGAAAGAAATATCTGACATGCCATCCTCCGCAGCCATGAGATTAGTTTAACAAAACCTGACTCAGTGTCCTTCTTACTCCTTCAGCTCGTAAATTACATTGTCTCCTGCTCATCTTACTTAAATATCTATCTCCTATGGACTCCGGAGCTTAAAAGAGATCCATCTTTGCAGAGTGACACCTTAAACAATAAAAGATTCTACATTTCCAGGTTGTGTATTTTCTGTGTAAGTAACAATGGGTACTTATAATTGGCTTAAAAGCAGCTACAATTATGGCAAATAAAAAATATGCCATACTGTCCTAGCCGGTGTAGTGCAGTGGTTGGAGTATAAGCATGGGCACCAAAGGGTTGTGGGTTTGATTCCCGGTCAAGGGTGTGTACCTGGGTTGCAGATTCAATTCCCATCCCTGACCCTGGCCCCTGTCTGCTTCCTTCCCTTCCACTCTCTCTCTAAAAAAAAAAAATATGCCATACTGATATATGTTGAAAATTAAAATTCGTCTCTATGGTGTATTTCATCAGTACTCAGAGTATTCAGAATTTCAATCATGCTCAGTTGTCAAGGCGTTGTTTGATCTCCATCAGCTCCTCCATGTTTGGAGGCAGAAAATGAGTGGTGGGTCAGTCTTATGGAAAGTGCACCCAAAGCTAAGTTCTCAACAAGCCCCAGAGCTGCCAGTGCTCCCTTTCAATCAGGTGCAGCCCCTGCAAACCCCCTACACAGATATTTCTGAGCAGGTGTCGACCACCTTAATGACCACACTTGGATAAACAGTCAGTAGTGATCATCTTCAAACCGTAGTTTAACACACCAAGTCAATCACCCAGTGTGTGCTCTAGTGTTTCCCACTGTTTGGTAAGATTTAAGGACCCTGAAGCCAGTGACCAGGTAAAGTGGAAGCTTATCTGGAAGACAAATGATTTATGGAGCAAAAGGGAGGGTTATTTTGGACTTGCATAATTTCTATTGTCAATGGTACAAAGCCCTTGGTTACTTGTTGAACTTCCCGCTCCTCATTAGGTAGGAAACCTGCAGTAGATTTTAAGGTATGTTTACCTTCGAATGTGACTAAGAAAAGCTTCCTTGTCCAATATTATTTTTTCTGTGGGCTTGCCCGGGGGCTTGGAATCCCTACATTGTTCATCCCAGAGAAATATTTCATTCATTTGTTCAGTAAATTATTACCAATGTGTATCTCATTCTTTTACAACTTCTAGTTTTCATTTATCTCATAAAGAATATAATGTATTAGTAGAGTAACACACATAGAGGCGGCTATGATATCCATAGTCTATGAGACCACCTGGCTTCAAGCTTGAACCAGTCACCTGCTAGTTACATTTTTTAAGTAGGGCAAATTTTTAAACATTTAATGTCTCCATTTCCTCATCTTTCAATAGTGTTAATAATAACAATACCTACTTCACAGAACTGCTATGAAGTGTTGTAAGTCACACTTACACACTTCTTAGAATAGAGCCTGACATGTAGTAAGCTTTCAATAGTGCTTATAATTATTTAATAATTTGTAAATCGAGAAATACACACACCTTGGTAGTGTAGCTAGTACCTTTCTAGCTAGTAGGGAAATGTAATCAAACGAGGTTGCGAGTCACTGTTGCAGCCCACTGGTGTTCAACTGCAGACGTGCCATGGGGGTGGTGTTGGAGGTGCAGAGGGCCAATCAGAGCAGGTAACTTTTACTGATATTACTTGATTGTGCCTCTGCAAAAGAATTTGTGTGTGTGCTACCGCAGTGGCCACATCTAGGCAAACAATAATCATAGTTATTTCAAACATACCACAGAGCAATCTGAATTAGTTTAAGATCCCTAGTCAACCATGCTGTGGTCTGGTTGAAAGAATAGTTGGAAATAAGTGGTCTAATTCATGTTTGAACAATTCTGGGAACTAGAGAAAAACACTTTTCAAGAAGTCTGTTCCATACATTGAGACTTGTGGAGGGTGTTGGGTCATAAAACATGCGTTGGCCATTGGGGAAGATGGGATAAAGGGCCAAGGGAGGCTGGATAGGTGACTTTTAGGTCCCCTTGCACATTTCCAGATGCACAAAGTAAACAGAAAGGCTCTGAAGTAATGCTTGCCCTTTTTCTACCCTCAGTTCCAGCACATACAGCTACAAAACGTGAGCAAATACTTAATCTTTTCCCATACAATTTCTCGTTATGCACAGGAACAATGAGATTGTTAAAAGAATTAAGTAAGGTGATACTTTCAAAAACCTTAGCACTGGAGACTATTATGCAAATTGAAATAAGCCAGTCAGAGAAAGCCAGGTATCACATAATCTCACTTATATGTGGAATCTAATGAACAAAATAAACTGACAAACAAAAGAGATACAGAAACATAAAGCATGGAGCAGAATAACGAATCTCAGAGGGAAGGGAGGGAGTGGGAGGAGATTAAACAAAGAACATATGCATAACCCATGGCCCAGGCAATAGTGTGGTGAAGCCTGGGGGGGAGGGTTGGGAGCTAGGTGGAGGGGGTGAACGGGGTGAAAAAGAGAAACATCTGTAATGCTTTCAACAATAAAGATAAACTTTAAAAAAGCACAGTACAAGGTATAAAACAAGGCCTGGATAAATATTAGTTATTGTCATTACTGTTATCACCAATATCATCCTCACTCACACTCCATCCTGTCCCGTTTTAAGATGAAGTTGATCTGTAGTTAATCTTAACAACCTGTTGAAACCTTGGTTCCTCTCCAATGTTCCCTGTTAGGAGAGAAGTACTAACTCCTATCACCTATCTATCTATCTATCTATCTATCTATCTATCTATCTATCTATCTATCATCTATCATCTACCTACCTACTATTATGTATGTATGCATGTATGTATCCAATTATGTATCTATCAACTATTTGTCATGGTGCAAATGTTAGATTCTGATTACAAATGTAGGTTAAATATTAACCACAACCTATCAATATAGTACTGAAGAAATAATCTCTCTTTCTAATAATCACACGTAGATAGGCAGAGTGGATACAAGTGATCTTGTGGCTGTCTCCTTGCT